TTCCTCCCTCTCATCCTTTATATTCTTGCTCTCATTCATTTTACTTGAACATAAACATATATAAGCATACATATTTGAATACATTGTTGCTGTTATTTTTAACACACTACTATCTGTTAGATTAATTAAAAATATTAAAATAGAAGTTGTTTTACCTAGTCTTCCTTTGTTCCTCCCTTATGTAGATCTGAATTTCTTTTTTTCTTTCTTTAAAGTTTATTTATTTATGTAAGTAATCTCTACAGCCCATGTGGGGCTCAAACTCACAACCCCAAGACCAAGAGTTACATGCTCAGACCAACTGAGCCAACCAGGTCTTTTTGTGTAGATCTGGGTTTCTGACCTATATCACTTTCTTCTCCCTAAGAATTTCTTTTAACATTTCTTGCAAGACAGGTCTCCTGGCAACAAATTACCTCAAGAAATTTTTTTTTGTGGAGAAAGTCTATTTTTTTTTCACTTTGCAGGTAATTTCACAAAGGATACAGAATTCTAGACTAGTGGGTTTTTTTCTCTCAATACTTTGAATATTTAATTCTACTCGTTACCTGCATACTTTGCTCCACTACAGGTAAGTTGAATTTTTCCTCTGATTTCTTTCAAGATTTTTTCTTTATGTTTGATTTTCTGACATCTGAATATGACAGGCTTACATGTAGTTTTTTAAAAAACATTTTTCCTGTCTAGTGTTATCTTGAGTTTTCTGGATCCATGGTTTGTTGTCTGACATTAATTAATCAATTCATGACTAATTCTTAGTCATTATTGCTTCAGATGTTTCTTTTCCTTTCTCTCTTTCTTCTCCTTCTGGTTTCCCATTACATTTATATTACACCTTTTGTAGTTGTCTCACGTTCTTGGGTATTCTGCTCTGTTATTTTCCATTTTTTCTCCTGTTTGCTTTTTAGTTTTGGAAGTTTCCATTGAAGCTTATACTATCTTTACACTCAGAGATTCTTTAATCAGCCGTGCCCAGTCCACTAATGAGCCCATCAAAGGCATTCTTCCTTTATTTTACAGTGTTTTTGACCTCTAGAATTTAAAAAAAAATTTTTTTTCGTAGACTTTCCATCTCTTTGCTTACAGTTTCAGAGAAAAATTGCTGATACTTAATGTGATACTTAACCTGGGAGGGCTCTTGGAGGTAAAACTCACAAAAGTGTGAGGGTCCCCCATGAATGGAGATTGTAATTCTGAGAGTTATCCACACAGCCTCCAGCAATTCATCAATTACAGTTCAGGTTTTCTTATACCATTACTGGTTCCCCTGGAGGTATCAGCTCTGGTAAGTTGTGATTCTATCTTTCTAATTTTGAGGGCATTGGTTTGCCTCATGACCTCATTTCTCTAATGCATCTTAGAAGAATTATTGATTTTCCAGTTCAGGTTTTTACTTATTATTAAACAAGTGGCAACTTGTGGCAACCTCTGAGTTCCTTAAATGCTGGACTGGAAAAAGAAGAACTTACATAGATTTTCTCTTGTATTTTCTTTTATGAGTTTTCGTCTATAAGTTTTACATTTTTCATTTAGATCTTTTCTTTCATTCAGTTAATTTTTGTATCACATTTGAGGTATGGATCACGGTTGATTTTTTTTTTTCTTTTTGCATAAGGCTATCCAATTATTCCAACACATTTGTGGAACAGATTATCTTTTCTTCATTGGATAACTTTTGCATTTTTATCAAAAATAACTTGACCAGATATGTGTGGGCCTGTATTTGGACTCTATTCCATTTTTCTCTCTGTCTCTCCTTTTTCTAGTACCACACTGAATTGGTTACTGTAGCTTTGTAGTAAATGTGGAAATGAAATCATGACCTCCTACTTTGTTTTTTGGTTTGATTCTTCAATTTCCTTTGCTTCTCCATATAAATTGTAGAATCACTCTGTCAGTTTCTATAAAAAGAAAAATCCCATTAGAATTTTTTTGAGGGGGGGGCCTGAGTGGCACAGTCTGACTTTCGGTTTCCTATTGGGTCGTGATCTCAGGGTGCTAAGATTAAGCTCTTATCAGGCTCCATGCCCAGTGCACACTCTGCTGAAGACCCTGTCTCCCTCTGTACTCTCCCCCGTCCCTACTGTGTTCTCTCTCTCAAATAAATAAATCTTTAAAAAAAATTTTTTTTTGCTTGGAATTGCATTGAATCTTTAGGGACAATTAATAGAGCAATTTGAGGAAGCATCCTTAAAATACTGAGTTTCTCAATTTCATGAACATGGAATATCTCTTGATTTAATTAGTTGTCTTTGATTTCTTTCATCATTGTTTTGTAGTTTTACATATAGATCTTGCATATTTTTTATTTTTAAAATTATTTTTTTTAGTAATCTCTGCACCCAACATGGGGCTTCAACTCAAGGCCTAGATCTTGCACATTTTTAAAGATTTATGCCCAGGTATTTCATATTTTCAGGTGCTATTATAAATTGTATTATTTTTAATTGGAGTTTAAAATTTTTTTTCTAGTACATAGAAATATGACAGATTTTTATATATTGACATATATCCTGCAACCTTGCTATGCTCACTTAGTTCTAGTAGCTTTGTTGTACATTTTTTGGAATTTCATACATAATCATATTGTCTGAAAATATAAAGTTTTGTTTTTTCCTTTTGATCTGATGGTTGTTAATTTCTTTTCCTTTATTTTACTGGCTAGAACCTCCACAAAGATTTTGAATAAGAATGATGAGAGCACATCTTGCCTTGTTTTGATCTTGGGAATGAGGGTGGGTGTGGTGGTAAGCATTCAGTCTTTTACAATTAAATATGTTAGTTGTACGATTTTTGTAAATACCCTTTATAAGACTGAAGAAGTTCCCTCTATTCTTTGCTTTTTGAGAGGTTTTTTTTTTTTAATCATGAATAATTGTTGAGTTTATCAAGTGTTTTTCTGAATATATTGAGGTGGTCATTTGCTTTTTCTTCCTTAGTTTATTGATGTGGTGTATTATTTCGGTTAATTTTTGAATGTCAAATTAACCTTGTAATCCCAAAATAAATCCCACTTGTTTATAATCTGTTATTTTAAGTATTTGATTTGCTTGTTTTTTTTGAGGATTTTTGCGTCTATGTTTATGAGAGATACTAGTCTGTAGTTTTCTTTTAATATACCTTTATCTGGTTTTGGTATCTTAATAGTGCTGGCTATAGTAAATGAGTTGGGAGGTGTTCCTTGTTTTTCTGTATTTTTGAAAATTTTGTAAAATTGGTATTATCTCTTTCATGAATGTTTGGTAGAATTCACCATGAAATCATCTCAGTCTGTAGATTTATGTGTTGCAAGATTTTTAACTATATAGCCAATTTTCAAAAGAGGTATAGGAGTATGCAAGCTATCTATTCCTGTTTAGATAAACATTCACAGTTTATATATTTCAAAAAATCTGACCGTTTCATCTGAGTTACCAAACTTAGTGCATAGAGTTGTTCATCGTATTTCCTTACTACCAGTTAAGTGTTGGTAGGGTTTATAGGGATATCCCCCTTCATTCCTAATATTTGTAAGTTGTTTTTCCTCTTTTTTTTTTCTTGGTCAGTCTGGCTTATCAATGGTTATTGTAAAATAAGTACTCATTATATGTCATACACCTGTTAAAGAGTTTTATTATATTCTATTTGAATATCCAAGACTCTGTAAGATACATTCCATTGTTATCCTGTTTCATAAATGAATAAATAGAGGCCAGGACATATTAGGAAACTTGCCTACAGTAGGACAACCAGAATGACAGATCCAAGATTCAGATCCAAGTCTGTGTGACTCAAAAGCTTTTGCTTTAAAAAAAAAAATTCATTCATTCATTCATTCATTCATTCATTTTAGAGAGAGAGAGTGCTTACATGCACGCACAAGTGGTGGGAGGGATAGAGGGAGAGGGAGAGAATCTCAAGCAGACTCCACACTGAGCATGGAGTCCACTGTGGGGCTCCATCTCATGATCCCCAAATTCATAAACTGGGCTGAAACCAAGACTCAGATGCTTAACCAGTGGAGCCAACCAGCCAGGTGCCCCCGAAGCCTTTGCTTTTGACCACTGTGGTATAAAGGATGAATCAAATCCAGAAAAAACATATTAAAGGAATCTTCTTTCTCACACTGTGACTGGGAACAAACTTTTCATTTTCATCATTGGACTCTAATATCTTCTGTTTTCTGTCTTTGGACTTATAGGCCTTTTTATTTTTTTATTTTTTTAAAGATTTTATTTAGTTATTCATAGAGAGAGAGAGGGGCAGAGACACAGGCAGGGGGAGAAGCAGGCATCATACAGAGAGCCCGACATGGGACTCGATCCAGGGTCTCCAGGATCACGCCCTGGGCTGCAGATGGCGCCAAACCGCTGCGCCACCGGGGCTGCCCCCTTATAGGCCTTTTTAAACAGCATATGATACAGAACCTCTTTTCAGAAGATCTGTTTGCTCCTTCTATTCAGTGAGGGTACCTACCAAGGAAAGAAAATTTGGGGATTTTTGGTTGCTATAAAATACTCAATAACACATCTTATATTTTCAGAACATAGGATCTTCTGCGGCTTTCCAGTGCCTGGAAACCAGAAATAGTTGTCCTGATGCCATCCATTTTTTTTAATTGAAGTATAGTTGACATACAATATTATATTCATTTCAGGTATACAATACAGTGATTTTTCAGTTATATACATTATGAAATCCTCACCATGATCAATCTACTTACCATCTGTTACCATTTAAAGTTATTGCAATATTATTGACTATGTCCTCTATACTATACTTTACATCCCTGTGACTCATTTATAAGTTTGTCCCTCTTAATTCCTTTCACTTATTTTGCCCATCCTCCCATTCCTCCTCTCCTTGGGAACCACCCATTCTTTGTCTGATGTAATTCATTCTTGACAGATTACAAATGAAGGCATTGACTCTTTTTTGTTTAAAATGTAGGTACTGTCCGCTCATAGGTATAAGACATGGTTTTGAAAATAAAAGTTAATATAGCTTGCTTGTTTCCTTAGGTCTGACGGTAACTGCTGTGAAAGACTCAGGAGAATGGAATTTGGAGGCTGGGGCATTAGTACTTGGAGATGCGGGCCTTTGCTGTATCGATGAGTTTAACAGCCTCAAAGAACATGACAGAACCAGTATCCATGAGGCAATGGAGCAACAAACTATAAGTGTTGCTAAGGCTGGGTAAGAGTTTCTTTTCTTTAAAGTCTATGGGAATAATGAGATTAGTTAATATGTGATTATGGAAAAATGTGAACCTTTTTGCACTGCAAGGTATATTTGGTCTTATCAGGGGTTATCAGGTGCACTCATCAAGACACATTAGCATCCCCAAGGAGGTGTATGAGGAAGTAAAAGTGAATTGTGGGGCAGTGAAAGGAAAAACTAAAGTATAAATGTAAGTTGACTTAATTCGTGAGGGAAACTTATGAAGAGCTTTCATGCAAGATCCAACTTATTCTCTCATTATAATGTATATCTGCTATGGGCATATTAGTATGTTAGGAATTTTTAAAGATTCAAAAAGAAATAACATAATTTCTGCTTTCAGTGGCATTCTCCTTATCTACCCTAATAGAAGGTTGATCACGGGATGTGGAAAACTAAACCATAAACTATATTAGCTAAAATGAAATGCCTGTTTTTGACTCAAGGAGGTTTAGGCATTGAGGTATGTGAGTCACTTGCAACATATGACCACTGAGGAGGAAAAATAGGGATGTCAGATAGAAATCCATTCACCCAGTCCCTGAGGTGGTTATGAGAAACTTACCTGGCTACAAAGGCTGACCACCAAATAGGCTGCCGGGTCATCCAAACAAAGGACAGAGCTAGAACTACCTCAGCCCTCTGCTACTATTATAGGTATGAGGCCAGCTGATGAGGTAGGTGGGGCTGCCAGCAGAGTCTTCCAACAGTAGTGGGTATTAAAAGGGATGCTGGTCTATATAGATTCCAGGAGATCTAATTATATGTGCTTGGAAAGACAAAAGAGGTGAGGTAAAGAGGATAGAGCCTGTAGAAAAAAGAAGAAAAAGCTAGGTAGAACAATTACTAGAACTATTCATTTCATTCAATATTCATTGACTCAGTGTATATTCATTAAGAGCCTGATGTATGCCAGGCACTGTGCTAGACACTGAGAAGTACGAAGACGAATATAGCACTATTCTTGAGGTGTTTGCTATTTTGTTGGGCAAGATAGACAAAAAGAGCACCATAGCAATAGGTTCATAATAAAAGTGTTATGAGAACATACTTTAAAATAATTATTGCTTCTAAAATCTTTATCAGGGGAAATTAGAGGTATAGTTTCCTAAATATCTTCAAGGCTACTTTCTCTTTTCATGTCTTCATTTAATTAGCACCTTTGCTGATTGGTAGACTTTGTGGTTTATTTTGATGTGCCTTTTCCAGAGAAAATCTGGGATGTTTTGAAATATTCTTAAATAAATTAACCCTCACATCAGGGAAAAATGGGACAAATTCTATTAATCTATTTGAGATAGAGAAAAAAATAGCAATATTATATGATGGGCTACAGAATAAATTTTTTAGAGTGAAAATCTTTGATTAACCACTCCTAATACCTTACTCTCTGCTAGGTGTGAATTAGTATGAATCTTTTTGCTATCCATAAATATGTCATAAGTTCCAAAAAAAATGTTCTGTAGCTGATGGCACCCATAGGCTAGACAAACTTGTCCTAACTATAACTACTTTATGCACTGGAACCATGATTTTCACACTATGATGAGGGACCAGTTTTGTTGTCTTTTTCAATCCATCACAAAACAATATTTTTATAAAATACAATAAAAATTAATTATGTTAGAAAATGAAATAAAAAAGCAAAGACATACAAAACATAAGCCTAAGTTCTTCTTCCATTTCCAAGGTGTGGAAAACTGTAAGAGCAGTTCACTCCCATCCTAATAAGAAAAATCAAATAGCCCCCAAAAGCATAATTTTCTTTGAACGTATCAGACAGCTAACAGCTGAGTTTATAAGGAAATCAAGGAAACTTAATTCTAAAGTTTGAGAAGCCCATCTGAGAATGAGGCACACAAACTGTTCACCTTTGAATAGAGCGTTAGAAGAAGTGACTGCCATAGAAGCAAATAAGAAAAAACAACTAAAATAGTTTAAATTCCTTGATGTCTAATCATGGGCTAGCTTTAGTTTGGAATAACTGGGAGCTCCAAACCCAAGGGGAATTCTCACCGGCAACTCCTTCTCCACAGGTCTCCAACCATGACCTCTTGTGGGAAGGGTAGAAAGGCCTACAAGCTTTCTAGCCGATCCCATCCAAAAGCAGGCTCACAGACCCTGCCTCACACTAGGAGACCAAAAGCCGAACCTGGCCCCCAAGTAAGCCTAACACCTAGTAACAAGCAGTCCATCACTGGGGAAGGTGCAGGAATATGGAAAGAGACTAGAGACTTCCACTGTGGTGCACGTGTGCAGTGACTGCTGAAAGCTAAAGGTAGAGTAGAAATACTGAGAATGATCTTCCAGTACTGGGTTATAACATGCGCAAAGTAATGGCAGCTCAACAGTGAAAGAATTTGAAATCTTTGGTCCATTGAGGGCAAAGTTAACAACAATACCAAAATGTAGATCAACTATCATGACCTCATAGATACAAAAACTGAAGGTAGACTGTAAGAAATGAAAGATGTAAACTCTAGAACAACCACTAGAAAATAAAAGACACATAACTAATAAACCAGTGGTAGAGATAAAATGAAATCATAAAAAATAACACAAAAAGATGCAAGAAGAGAACCAAAGAGAACAAAGAATAGATGGGACAAATAGAATATAATTAGCAAGATGGTAGACCCAAATTCAGCTTTATCAATGATTATGTTAATTATCTTATAAACAATTAAAAGGCAGTGATTGTCAGATTGGATAGAAAAGCAAGACACAACTAAATACTACCTTTGAGAAACTGACTTTAAATTCAAATGGATAGGGGCACCTGGGTGGCTCAGTAGTTGAGTCTGCCTTTGGCTCAGAGCATGATTCCAAGGTCCTGGAATTGAGTCCCATATCAGGCTCCGTGCACAGAGCCTGCTTCTCCCTCTATGTCTCCGCCTCTCTCTTTGTGTCTCTCATGAATAAATGAATAAAGATTTGAAAAGAAAATTTTCAAACACATAGATAAGTTAAAGGGACGGGAAAAAAATATTCCATGGAAACACCAAAACTTGACCAAGATATTATAAGAAAATAAAACTACAAGAATGATATCCTGCATGAGCAATAAGACATGAAAATTTCTTTCTTTCTTTCTTTTTTTTTTTTTTAAAAGTAGCTCCAAGCCCAAGGGGGGGCTTGAACTCACAGCCCTGAGATCAGGAGTCACGTTCTACTGACTGAGCCAGCCAGGTGCCCCATGACATGAGAATTTTTAATAATACTTGAGTAACTAAGTCCAGCAGTGTATTAAAAGGACTATACATTATAACCAAGTGGAGATCATCCAGGAATGCAAAGTTGGTATAATACCCAATAATGATAAAAATTTTCTGCAAACAGCAAGAGAAGTTCATCTGCCTGTTTAAATGTCATCTATGGAAAACCTAAAAGAAACATTTCATACCTTATGATGAAGTGAAATGTTTTCCATTTAAGATTGGGAGCAAGTTAAGGATGTCCAGTCTTCCTACTTCTAGTCAATATTTAGTGAAAGTCCTGGTCAGTTTAGTAATGTAAGAAAAAGAAATAAAAGGCATTCAGTTTGGAAAGGAAGAAGCTAAAACTGTCAATATGACATGATTGTCTCCATACAAGATCTCAAAGAATCAATGAAAAGGTATTAGAACTAATAAATGAGTTTTTAAAAATCATAGGATGCAAGGTTATATAAAAATTTTTATTTCTGTATGCTGCAATGAATAATTAGAAACTGAAGTAAAACATACCACTTATAATAGTATCCACAAATATGAAACCTATATTTTTACAATGAAAACTTCAGAACGTTGGTGAAAGAAATTAAAGAAGACCTAAGTAAATGGGTATATATACCAAGTTTATATACCAGAAGACAATATTGTTAAAATTTCTGTTTTCTTCAAAATGATATGTAGAATCCATGCAATTTCAATTAAAATCCCAGCAAGCTTTTTGCAGAAATCAACAAGCTAATTTTCAAATTTATATGGAAAACCACAGGATCTAGCATAGCCAAAACAATTTTAAAAAAGAACAAATCTGGAGGACTTTATTTCAAGATTTACAATAAAGCTTCAGTAACCAAGCTAATGTAGCATTGGTGTAAAGATAGATATAGAACAATGGAAGAGACTATAGGTCCAAAAATAGACTCACAGGTATAAAGTTAGTTGGTTTTCAAGAACAATACCAAGACAATTCAATAGAAAAAGGATAGTCTTTTTTTAAAAATGGTGCTAGAACACTTGGATTTTAATTTACAAAAAATGACTTGTACATAAATGCTTATAGCAGCTTTATTCATAGTCACTCAAGATTGAAAATAACCCAGAAATCAATCAATTGGTGAATGGATAAGCAGTTTGATGAATTTATACAGTAGAATACTACTAGAAAGATAAAAACTATAGGTACATGCAATAGCATTGAATCTGAAAAGCGCTGCTATGTAAAGTGACAGATGCCAGGCACAAATGACTACTTAGTTTATGATTCCCCTGTATGAAATTCTAGAAAAGGCAAAATTATAAGAAGAGAAATCAGATCAATGGTTGCAAAGGATATGGCATTAGGAGAAGAGATTGACTGCAGAGAGGCACCTAAAAAAGTTGGATTTTACTATATGTAAATTATATCACGATAATCCTTAATTTAAAAAATATGTAAATATGTGTTTTTAATTTTTATTTTTTCCATGTATTTTATTTTTAGATTCATGAGAGACAGAGACAGAGAGAGAGAGAGAGAGAGGCAGAGACACAGGCAGAGGGAGAAACAGGCCCCGTGCTGGGAGCCTGATGTGGGACTCAATCCCGGGTTTCCAGGATCATGCCCTGGGCCGAAGGCAGGTGCCAGACCACTGAGCCACCCAGGGATCCCCCTTATTTTTAGATTCAGCAGGCATGAAATCACTTTGTTAAATTGCTATTGAAATTTCTAAATTCTTACTTTTTCTGTATGTATCTCTTCCCTAATTCAGGGTAGCAGTATATAGAATA